TGACTACACTACCTTTTCCAACGGCTCTCTCTTCCTCTGGGGGTGAATATACATCACTTCGCTCATTAGTATGCATGTCGCTGTACTTGTGTTCCTGTCTACGTCTTGTTTTTCGCTGTCTCGCTCTCTCTGTTGTGCTCTCAGACTCTGCAATGGTGTAACAGAAACAGAGAAGCTGAGACGAGACAGGCAGCAAAATTACAGCAAGTGTGTGTATGTGTGTGTGTGTGGAGAAGTGGGCAGCCTAATTGGTGATGGCCTGCAGCCTCATCATCTCCAGAGCGAGTGATGTCTCTGTACTGGTTCCATGCCAGATGTTGTCCTCTGGCTGAGAGGCCGGTCTTTGCACAGAGGCAGATGTGTCCGGCCTCCATTATCCAACTAAATTATCTAGGCATAAACACAGCACTGGGCTCCTCATCGGACCAATCTTTCTTTCTGTTTTTTCAAACGAAAGTGTCATGCTCAGCACTTCTGTAGTTCTAGGCGTCCCTTATTCCTCTCCAACAAAATGGAGGCACTGGGGATCTGCCAAACGTCTTACAGAATTGGACCACATTGGGAGTTGGATAAAGATGGAAGTTTTTTTTTGTTTCTGCACAGTTTTCATATGTCAGTTACTTGCTATTTGTAAATAATTGGTTATTTTATTTTAGGTAGCTAGTAATAGTTAGGATGTAGTGTCATTCTAAAGTTTGTAGACATTTGAGCTGCTTTTAAACTATTGTTTCAAATGGTTCTAAGAACAGTTGGGTTGCTGTTGTATTTCCACAAGAGCCTGGTATAGTGTGGCGTGATTACAAACTGTTCTTAAAGTTCCCATGAAATAAAAATAAAGTCTTTTTTTAAATGTTAGTATCAGTATTGTTAGTTTTTAAACTATTTATTAGCTAGTATGCTCCAAGACAGTGACATATTTGCGTTTAGAAGATAGAAAATTGATATAAACATGTAAGGCTTGTAGCTTGTCACTTCCACCTAAATGGATCAACAGTTTTATTCATGTCAACTCATGCTTCAGTTTTTCCATCAAATCGTGACCAATCAAATGCTCTCTAGTATCTGACATGCCCCGCCCCCTTCAAGACGCTTATCATTTGCTTTTCATTTGATGCAATTGAGTTCAACCACTTTCACTGGCAAAGTGGTGTTAAATAGAAATTCTTTTGGTCTTTCGGTAGTTATACCGAGTATCATCCATGTTATTTATTAAATTACCCGATAAATTGTATTTTTAATGCCTACCCCCACTGCAACCCTAAACCAAACCGTCACAGTACAGTAAAAATATAAATTATTATTATACAATGTCCCTAAAACAGAAATATTACATTACTATAAAAACACATTTGTATTTCATTCCAAAGTGCTCCATATAACACCACCATGGAAAATGAAATTGTATTGTAAACTACTGACTGGCCCAGATTGGCACAGAATGGAATGGCTAAGCACAGAGAACTGTTCAGTCCAATAGTGAAAACCAGCTTTGGAGGTTGTTATTAAAAGGAATACTGTAATCCAGCAAATTAATACTTTTTATTTGATGAAAGGTTCACATATTTCGGTAACTGGATGAATATGCATTTTTTAACTAATCTTGCCAACCTGCAAACCTAGCACATCTCTGATTATCAATGTTGAATTTTTGCATAAAAGAATAAAACTGGTTGATTATTAATCACAGGGTACATTAAAGACGGAGTCAAATGCAAAGATACGGTACTATTTATTTAAATAAATAAACCGCAATCAGTTATATCAACATTTGCATTTTTGTTAATGATAATGGCACTTAAGCGTATTTGATTATCCTGATTTTTTGGCTTCTTCAGGATTTTTTTCCTTGACCCTTTTGAAAAGTGTTTACATAATGTCAGACCACAGTTTTAGGGGTTGGATCAAAGAAGTCAAAATATCAGTTATGATTTGTCTTTCACTGATATCCTTTATTTATTGTTGGTTTTATTATCTTAATCAGATTTTCTCCATGATAATATTAAAACAGGCAAGGTGTTCAGTTAAACAAACAGTACAAGTTTTGTAGATCTACATTTATTTCTGGTCAAGAATCATCTTTGATGCTGCAAAAAGGTGCAGAAGGGCTGCAGATCAAGCAGCGGCACCCTGTTGGTTGGTGTGTGTGTGTGTGTGTGTGTGTGTGTGTGTGTGTGTGTGTGTGTGTGTGTGTGTGTGTAAGTGTGTGTGCTCTTCTCTTTCTGGACTGAATATCTGTGATTGAGCAGCTGGTGAGATTACGCCAGTCGCTTTGAGACCTCCACTATCTCCCACTGCAAATGAGATGTCTTGAGATCCGGCCCACTAAATTGAATTGCTCAATAAAATAATTGTGCCACGAATAAACAGATTAAAGCAATGGACGGCGGTAAACGGCGCTTCAGAAGCCTCTCAGCAGGAATACATTACGCCGTGTCTTCGTAAACATGGCTTTGCCATAAAAAGAACAAATAAATGTGGTGTATAATGAGCATTTTTTATGGCATTTATCTTCTGGATGGACCGAGCTGTTGTGTTGCTACTTTTGTGCGGTGCTGTAGAGGATTTCTGTGTCTTGGCTGTAAAGCATTTTAGTAAGCGGTCATTCATCTGTCGCCTTCAACACTGAGGTTTATGGTCACAGTCAACGGCCAGCGTTCTCCTCTTTTACTGTTTTATATGGAAATAAATTAAGATCATGGTGCAATATTGAGCACACCTCAATCAATATGTCATGTTTAATATGGAAAAATAAAAATGATGTGCATGCTTATATAAATACAGTCAAATGATTCTTGAATTAAAAAAGAAGAAAATGTAAAATATTTTTTGTATATTCATAGCAGAGCCCAAGAATTGAAGAAAATAGAGCCAGCAGTTTTGTGAAAAAATAAACAAAATTCCATTTGAATTTGTTGTAGTTTTTCTTTTATCCTAATGATGTTGTGTAACCACACAATTATTTTAATGTTTATCAACAGTTTAATAAAATGTTAATAAAAATGCTCCAGTGTATGTTGTTCATATTCACTAATATATGTAAAAATATGAATTTTCAAAGGGGATGTACTTATTGTTGCTGCATCTCGTTAATAAATGTTAAAAATAAATCTATACTACCGGTCAAAAGTTTGGGGTCAGTAGAATTTTTAAATGTTTTAAAATAAGCTTCTCCTGCTCACCAAGGCTGCATTTATTTCATCAAAAATACAGAACAAATTGTAAAATTTTGAAATGCTATTGCAGTATAAACTATAACTGTAACTGTTCAAAAGTAGTTCATCATTTAAATTTATCATTTATTCCAGTGATTTGAAAGAAGAATTTTCAGCTTTATTACCCCAGTCTTCAGAGTCACAGGATCCTTCAGAAATCCCTCTAATATTAATTATTATTGTTGTTAATATTATTTTTTTAGGGTAATAGTAATTGAAGCAATAATAACTGCAGTAATAATTTTATTGGAAACTACATACAATAAGTAATAAATATTTTTTAATTTAAATTATTAAATAAAATTAATAATAATAAAAAAAAACTGTCCCCCAACTTTTGACTGGTAGTGTACATTTTAAAATCTTACAAAATGAAAAAAGGCGGTTTTATGGTTTAATATATCACGTTTTTTTTTGTAATTGTACTTTTCAATACTCGATGTAAAAGTTTAATCTTAAAATTAAATAAAATTACATGAAATATGTTTTTGCAAATAAACTCTTTAAATATTTTGTAGTAATATTGTTTTGATTGTATTTTGAATAAATATAGCCTTGATAAGCATATGAGAATTGTTTCAAATAATATAATATAATACGATATGATATGATATGATATGATATGATATGATATGATATGATATGATATGATATGATATGATATGTGACATGACATGGCATGACATGACATAATATAATATAATATTGGGCAGCATGGTGGTGCAGTGGGTAGCACGATCACCTCACAGCAAGAAGGTCGCTGGTTCAAGCCCCGGCTGGGTCAGTTGGCATTTCTGTGTGGAGTTTACATGTTCTCCCCATGTTCGTGTAGGTTTCCTCCAGGTGCTCCGGTTTCCTCCACAGTCCAAAGACTGTGCTATATAGGTAGATTGAATAAGCTAAATCGTCTGTAGTGTATGTGTGTAAATGTAAGAGTGTATGATTGTTTTCTAGTGGTGGGTTGGAGCTGGTAGGGCATCCGCTGTGTAAAACAAATGCTAATAAGTTGGTGGTTCATTCTGCTGTGGTGACCTCTGATTAAAAAAGGGACTAAGCCAAAAAGAAAATGAATAATATAATATAATATAATATAATATAATATAATATAATATAATATAATATAATATAATATAATATAATATAATATAATATAAATAATGTAATATAATGTAATATAATATAATATAATATAATATAATATAATATAATATAATATAATATAATATAAATAATATAATATAATATAATATAATATAATATAAATAATATAATATAATATAATATAATATAATGTAATATAATATAATATAATATAATATAATATAAATAATATAAATAATATAATATAATATAATATAATATAATATAATATAATATAATATAATATAATATAATATAATATAATATTTGCTAAATTCTGGGGGAAAAAATATTAATTAATTTATTTATTTTAAACATCCATCCCAAAAATCTGAACAGACAACCTAACAAAATAACAAGCAAAAATACATGTCACAGTTTCTTCATAAACACAGCCTCCCCATAAAAAGAAACATGTTGCATAATAAACATTTTTATGTTATTAATTTGAGCAGTTCTGTTGCTACTGTTGTGCAGTGCTGTAGAAGATTTCAGTGTCTTTCAGTGGTTTTAAAGCATTTTAGTAAACAGTCTTTCATCTGTTGATTTCAACACTGGAGTTTATGATCACAGTCACTGGCCACAATTCTCCTCCTTTAATGTTTGCTAAATTCTTTTTGGTCTCCTTCCTTTCTTGCTGTCTCTCAGATGCCACGATCCTCAGTTACGATGGTAGTAAGTTCATGAAGATCCAGCTGCCGGTGGTGATGCACACAGAAGCGGAGGACGTGTCCCTGCGCTTTCGTTCTCAACGGGCCTACGGTGTTCTAATGGCGACCACATCGCAAAACTCTGCTGATACTCTGAGGCTGGAGCTGGACGGAGGGCGGGTCCGACTCACTGTCAATCTAGGTACATCTGCCAATAAGAGCGCTCGTATTGATGGTTACCACCACACAGTAGACGTGAAGCATAACATGTTAACACAGCATGGAATTTTTTGTTTTTAATTATTATTATATTTTTTCTCAAATGTGATTTTATATCTATTGTATGGTAATGAATTTTACAATGTAAGATTAGTTTTTGCCAATTTCTGACAAATATTTAGTTGACTACGGGAATATAGACATGTATATAATAAATACTTGACTTTCTATTGTTTTTACATACAGCTCTATCTATCTATCTATCTATCTATCTATCTATCTATCTATCTATCTATCTATCTATCTATCTATCTATCTATCTATCTATCTATCTATCTATCTATCTATCTATCTATCTATCTTTACATACAATTTTATGTAAATATAAGTTATATATTATTAGAAGTAGTCTGCTAATTTGTTCTACGCTGTAAAAATATACTGACAATAAGTAAAGATCAGGTTTCAACTAAATATTATAAGTTGTACAAGATTTAACTTAATAAATTAAGTCAGTTTGACTGACGTAAGTTGAGATAACTATAAAAGTTAATTTCATTGAACTATAAAAAACATTTAATTCAGGCAGCATGAATTTTTATAGTGTATGGTTGTATATACACTATTGGTTAATTATATTGTTTTACTACATTATTTTATGTTACATTTACCATTCAAACCGATATTAGTTTGAAGTCAGTAATTTTTTGTTAGTTTTTATTACTAAATTATCAAAACTGACATTAACATGAGAGTTTAAAGGCATTTTTTAGGAATTGAAGATATTTTAAAAATGACAAAAATAGTATAGATTATTGTAACTTTTTAACATTAAAAAACACCAAAATATTATAATAGATTGTTTTCTAAAACAGCAATTATAGGAATAAATTACAGTTTGTACTGTATTTTTTGTTAAAAGAGAAGTATAATAATATTTTACACTATTATAGTACAATTAACATAAATTAATGATAACTTTTGATAAATGATCTTTTTTTGCAGTTTGACCAAATAAATAGAGCTTTGTTGTAAATAAGAGACTTTTTAAAAAATAGAAAGGATAAAACAAATTACAGACCCCAAACATTATATTATATTATATTATATTATATTATATTATATTATATTATATTATATTATATTATATTATATTATATTTACTAATAATATATCTTTTTACAATCATTACTAGATGTCTCTAGACTTGCTCGGTTTTGGAACAAATTAATCTCCAAAGTATAGTGTTAACTCTATGCTCTTTCTCTCTTTCGCTATTTCTCTCTCTCTCTCTCTCTCTCTCTCTCTCTCACACACACACACACACACACACACACACACACACACACACACAATACATTCGAAAATCTCTGTGTTGAAGAGAAGGATGTAGAACCTTCAACGGCCAGAGTCTGCGGCCAAGCGCTCACTCCCAGATGAGCACTGTAGTCTTTCCCTACCAGAGAGTGCACAGTCCCTGCCTTCAACCAACTTACAGCAGCCCTACACCTGCACAATATACACTAACCATTGGAGCGTTACACGTGTCACCAAAACTGACAAGCCATTGTTCCACCCAGTACGTTTAATTTACATTTCCCCAGGAGCCATTGCAATTTTCATCCATCGCTTAATATTATACTGTCTTGCTGCATTCATAAAGCACCACCTCTACGAGTTCAAACTAGTTCAGTAAGTAAATGTGAACATCACTCGCTTAACTGTCCTCCCACATCATGTCAGGTATTTCTGATGCAAAACCGAGCTGAAAAGTTCCTCCGCTGAATAGATAAATGTCAGCCGTTCCCATGTGGCAGTGTGACATAGTCTCTGCCATTTAGCATGTCTGCTTACAGTGCGGAAACATAAATGAGGAAATTACGATTTTGATGCATTTCTCAGTGAACAAAACGGTTTTCTTAAATAGGTATATGCAATGACTTAAGATTGTGATCACCGAATGTCTTTAAGATACAAATAAAAAGCATTTATTTGTGAAGGAGGTGTTGCAAATATATTTAAAGCCTACAAAAAAGTAACTAAATATAATAGGCTGTATACATCCTTGATTTTTCTCTTAATCTCAGTTTTATAAGGTATTTTCTCTTTATTTATTTATTGGGGAGTGTAAAATTTTGATCCACGATCTTAAATTATTTTAGTCAGAATAGTTCCAATTTTCTAATATGGACAAAACATGTAAAATCAAAAAACTAGAATTCTACTAGAACTAGAACAGCATCGCACATTGTAAAAAATAACTTAAAGAGATAACTTCAGATTACGTAAAGTTGTGTAAATGTATCACCTAAAATCAAAACATTTTTTATAGTTAGTAGAACATTTTTAGTAGATTTATTTGTTCAGTCACTTTTTAGTAGACTTTTTTCTTTTCCACTTTTTAGTAATTTAATAATTAATCACACTGAGGAAGGCATTATGCCGAAACGTTTGTGTTTTTTAAATCACTCGAAGAATGTAAAAAAAAAATAAAAATGGTACAAAGCAAATACTTGGTGAGTGCGAATCATTACCTTTTTGAATAATAGCATTGACAAGATTGACCACCAAAGAAGTTTCTTTAAAAACCAAAAGCGCGCAGGGCAAACTTCAGTAAATTTAATAGATGGTATAGATATATGGTAATATAAATTATTTAATTTGGTGGTATAGGTAGGTTTAAGGGTGGGTTAAGGTTTAAGGGATGGTCAACAGTGTATTTACAAATGTAGGTACAAAAGTTAGTTACAGATGTAATTACATACATGTATTTAATCAAGCATAAGTACACAGTAAATACATGTATTAACACAAGTACATTGCAACAAACTATTAGTTTCTATATAAGTACATATTAGTTAAGGCCACTTAATATAAAGTGGGACCGAAATTTTATTTTATACTACAAAAAGGTTGTTTGTGACAAGTGGGGTGACACGTAATGTGTCTCATCAGCAATCAGTTTTCACAAAATATTGATTTGACTTTAAATATTTGCAATTTATTGATTTATGAAGTAACGTGCATTTGTAAATTAACATAAATGTTGCATTTATCCATTCATCCTAAACTATGATTAAGTGTTTATGAGAGCATGTGTTAATGTTAGTGTAACTATCAAAAACACTATACATTTATATATATATATATATATATATATATATATATATATATATATATATATATATATATATATATATATATTTGCATAATTATAGTTGTTGTTCATACAGTATTTACAGCTTTCTTCTTAATACACTGTAAAACTCAAAAAGATAAGGAAACCGATTGCAACAACCCATTTAGGTTTAACAACTAATCCTAATTAGCATTGTGAACTTAATCCATTTGAGTAAACAAACCAGTTTGAGCACAGTAAAACCCGATAATGAAGAGAACTCAAACCAACTGAGTACTGTAAAACCCAATAAGTTGAGGCAACTCACACTGTTTGAGGAAACCGATTGCTACAAACCATTTGAGTAAAAAAAAACTAATCTATATGAGTACTTTGACTTACTCCATTTAAGTTGAAGTAATGAAGTATTTAATTAACTCATTATTTCAAAGCTCTTTTCAAATGAGTAGAATTAACTTTCATTAAATTTTGAGTTAACTACGGTCATTTCATTTGATAAAGCTGACTGTTGGGTTTTACAGTGTAGTACAGACTTCAACATAAACATCTGTAAATCCCAACGTAGAGTACAGACTAATTAATGTCTCTATACTGTATGTTAGTGTCGTCCAAACCCAATTACACTTAATTTCAAACCAGGGAACTAGAAATCTCCTACTCACTCAATTTAAGTTTGCCTTAATACAATACACTTTTGAGTTCACTTAACTCATTTTTTTAATGATTTTAAAATAATCGAAATCTGAAACACTGGACTGTAGATGTTCTGACTATTATAATTTTCATATTTCAATGTGTACTGATGGAGATACAATATTATCTGCACTGTAAAAAATACTGGGTTCCACACAATCCTGTCATTTCCTCTCAGCGTAAGTTGATTAAGTTAACGTAATGGTTTTTACATTGAACAAAAAAACTATTAAGTTGTCCCTTAAAAAACCATAAGAACTGATTTGTTTTATCTCATTTTACATAAGTAACTTGAACAAGCAGCAAAAAATATATTTTGAGTGTGTTATTTGTTAAACATATAGGAGCTACTGTTAATCTTGGCCAGTACACGCTTGAAAAAGTTATTTTACATCTCAATGTTTCTAAAATAAAATCTATAGAAATAATAATAATAATAATAATAATAATAATAATAATAATAATACATTTCTACTTATTTTTTCAACCACAATTATTTATTTAATATTTGAGTGAAATAAACTCATTTATTTAAACTTCACTGTTCGTTTTTACAGTGCACAGTAAGCATTAATAATTTAAATATGAGATTGGCGTATTTCTGATAAATCTTTTAGAGCTCGCTCTTGTATGCCACATCAACTGTAGGTAAATTGAAGCTTTCCCACCTCGAACACACGCTCTCACAAACAGCAATAATTCCTTCTGTCCCAGAGGTATACTGCACTCCCTGTTAGGGTGGACACACGATGCTCTCTGGCTGTTAGCGGCCACAATTTTCACTGTGGTTGACGACACGCGACGGGGCTGCAGCCTCATGGGAAAAAGATAGAGCTGGATTTGTGTAATGTTCTGAATTCCTCTTGGCCCTCCACTCCATCATAGCACACACTGAAGCATGGGACAGCCCAGGCTGTGCAGGAGAAATATCGATTCTCCATTCCAGAAGTATGCTTTGCAAAAGATAGTAATGGGAAAGGGGGGCCTTCTCACAGGATTCGAGCAAGGTTTTATATTATACAGCACCAGCCAGAACAAAAAGCCGTTGTATTGCGCTGCTCGGTTGGGAGTCTCAGCGGTACTGTACTTTTTATTGGTTTAAAGATAAAGTTAACCTTGAGGTTTTTTTATTTGTTTTTAAAGCTAAGATTTAGGTTTTAGCTTAAAGGCAAATTCATTTTTGGGACATAGGGTTTTGAAAAAGCTGCTACAGGCTTAACATACTGAATGCTAATCAGTGATACCCGGGCTCAACAATAAGCATTATACAGTAGGTGATAGACCTGTTTTACATTGTGATTCGGTACGTCAAATTTTATGTGTGAAAATGTAACCATTTGGTTTTATTTCATGCAGTCCACGTAGTTGTTGTACTTTTTGCTGAGATATCATTAAAGTAATGCAGTCTAGATATCTAAGATGAACAAGGTTTTGATTAAAAATGTGTCTGGAAAGCTAGTAAGCGTAAAAACTCCATTGCAAATTTTAGATAGTAGATTTAACTCCCCTAGTGTTACAATTAACACTCCCTCTGAGTTTATATGGGAACCACTAAAAAAATCTTAAATTAACAGTTTTGAAAAAGTTAATATTATCAATGTCAAATATTAACACCAGAAAGGATGATCTGAACTTCAGTATATGTTAACAATCTTAAATCAATTGTTCAGCACTGCATGGGTGTTCACTTGAAATTATAAATGAAATCTGTGTTGAGTAAATCAAAATATTTTCAGTGGTACAATGGTTTATATACCCAAAATGTTGTCTAAAATAAGAATCATTTAATGACATATTGAACAAGTCTATTTAGGCATGACATTGAAGCCCCAAAATACTAATTGTAATTTTATTTTATTACGCCTTGTAACCAATTTAACAAGTAATATAACTTAGTATGGTCACTAATTATTTAAAGCATTTTAATAAAAACAAGTCTGGATCACTATGTTGTTTAATTTTTACATTAGTTTGTATTATTTAACCCATATGTTGACATTAAAGTTATTTGAAACATTAAAATAACACTAACATTAAACATTATAATAGTATTTTGTAGACGCGAAACACAAATGATTTGTAATCTTAAGGCTTTATACTTTGCTATTTGTCAGTAAGCAGTTTATACTGATTTCAAAAAGTATACGATGTAAAATGGTTATTTACAATTTAATGTATTTTAACAGTAACAAGTCTGAATCAGTAGGTCGTTTTTACATTAATTTGTTAGAATGATTGAAGATGAGACATTATATCAGCCATGTTTACATTTAAGTTATTTAAAACATTAAAATAGACATTAAAGTAGTATTTTGTAGGTGCGAAATACAAATTATTAGTAATTTTAAGGCTTTACACTTTGCCCTTTGTCAGTAAGCTGTTTGTTCTGATTTTAAAAAATAAAATGTATAATGATCACTTATGATTGAATGTATTTTAACATTAACAAGTCTGAATCAGTTTGTCGTTTTTACATTAGTTTGTAAGAATGACTGACGATGGAACATTATTTCACGCATATGTTAACATTTAAAGTTATTTGAAACATTAAAATAAAAAAACTATAATTAAAATAGACATTTAAATAGTATTTTGTAGACACAAAATACAAATTATTTGTAATTTTAGGGCTTTACGCTTTGCCATTTGTCAGTAAGCAGTTTTTACTGATTTTAAAAATAATACAGTGCAAATAGGTTATTTTTAATTTAATGTATTTTACCAGTAAAATGTCTGAATAATTATGTCGTTTTTACATTAAGACTGATTGACGATGGGACATTATTAATAAGTTATTTACCATAAAACACATTAAAAAAAAACTCTCATTTTTGGTACATATATTTGACACTTTACAAATATTAAAAAAATAAACAGAATACTAATGATGGGTTAATGCATTTTTAACACACAAAAATAGATTTCAAGCATATATAAACATGAAAATCTTTCTTTTGTGGCAGCCTCTCTTTTTTTTGTTGTTTGCAGGCCAAGTAAATCTACTTCGGAAAACTAATCTTTATTGCTGAGCCCTGAATATAATTTATTTAAAAGCAGTATTAGCAGCATTAATAATGATCATGTCAGTATACTGCCTGTGGGGAAATTACAGAGAGGTATTTTCTTTTCTTTTTTTTTATTCTCAAGGCAAACACACAAATACTGGCTTTCCTTCTGAAAGCTTCACTGTGAGAGCCCACCATCCAACGTGTTATTCCAATGTTTATTCATGAGCTTGGGGTTCTTCTCACATGCAAGCAGGAAAAAAGTGAACCTCACGTCAAGGGCTGTGGTTTTTTTTGGAGTGTTTTTATCTACGGGAGCATTCTGAATTCAGCTCTTCTCCCAGGAGGCTAAGGCTTACTGTGGACATGCTCTGGTGCTCTGCTGCGACACGTCCATAAACACAAGTTTTCACTCTCTTCCTTTCTCTCCATCTTATCTTGGGCCTTTTTTCCAAATCCTTCAAATTTAATTCCTCTGTTTTCACTCATTAAGTGGGGATGGTTTTTAAAAAGGATGTGCATACGAGAGCACCAGCAGCGCCACTGGCGAGGACAGCCTGTTTCTCTGGCAAGATTCTCTCTCTTTTCTGCTTCCTGTGCCGCTTTCCTAGCTAACCCAGAGAGCAAATTAATCAATTACCTCTGAATATTCAGTAGTCCCGAGACTCGTATGGAACTGGGTATAATCACATTTCAATACATGCCAAATTTCCCTAATTCTAAATATATTATGGCACGGCGCAGGCATGAATATTCATTAGCGCAAGCAGCGAGACTGTATCCACTCCACCTGGGCTTCATTATCGGCACGCAGGAGGTAGAAAAGAAAGAGCGCGTATCTGGTCAGCGAAACAGCACCTCTCCGCTCCGCTCGGTTTGCGTGTTCGTCCCCAGTCTGTGGGCGATGTGTTGTAATGGATGTCTGCAGTCATAACCTTGAAGGCTGAATTTACATCTTGTCTGTTCTCCCCCATCTAGACTGTATCAGGATAAACTGTACTACCAGTAAGTGACTCTTCCCCTCTCTTTACCTCTATGAACCAAAGCGCCTTCTATATGTGTACTGTTCATTTGTATGTATGCGTGTGAGCGTGTATGCTTTCTGAAGTGTAAAACATTGCGGTTACCAGGCCTCTGTGTTGTGGCCAGCAGGGCTTTGAGTGGTGTTTTCAAAGTGCGAGCGAGCTGTCAGGTATGGCTAGTTTTTGCCTGTGGGCTGCAGGAGCCTTCGGGCTCGCTGGCAGCCATTTTCTAGGAATGTGAGAAATGGAGCTGACTGGAATGAGAGGAGAGGCGATTAAGTTTCTCACTCACAGATCACACTCCAGCTCACGCTGTTTCCAATAAACCCCGCAAAGATCATTTCCTCAGAGAGCCTCTCCTTAAATCCCTCCTCAGCCCCGAGCTTGATGGCTGATGACTGCCTGTTGTTTTCCTTTTCTCCTCGTTTTGGTCACTTTCTGCAGACCATCAGGAAGTGTTGCTATTATTTATTGGGAAGAGGAAAATGTAGTCATTTTTTGTAAATGTTAATTCGTTTACTTACTCTTGTTGTTGTTACATGCCAATATAAATGTTTTATTTCTTTCTTGGAACAAAAAATCTCAAGCTTCACTAGGTATTTTGCATTTATTGACCCCTTTTAGTGGGAGAAATCACTTGGAATAACAAATAGAAAAAAAAAAACAAGTCAAATTGTTTGCTTTACAAACAAGTTTGTTCATGACTATACATAAAAATGCAAATAATACCATTACAAAATACCAATTTGCAACATCAAGCAGCAAAACAAGCTATTTTTTACAGCTAAAAATAAACTAAAGTGAATGAGACCAAGATTTTGGGCTGTGTCTGCTCATACGTGAAGAATATAGTTAATAGAGCATAGTTTTACAATTCTTTTGCCCCAAATTAGGAAAGAGAGATCAGCATAAAAGTAGTCCATAGTGTGTGTGCTATATTCCTACACTTCCATAGTAATAGTATGTTTAAATTAAATGGTTTGCTGACAATCTTCCTGTCCAGTGAGTGATTCACTGACAATCTTCCTGTCCAGTGAGCTGTTAATTGGAGAACTGCTATGAACGGATCATTGAATCAACTGTGATTCATGAAATACTCAGATTAATGAACTGCTGTATGTCAGCCGGTGAAAAAAAGATACTGTTTTAAAAGCCAATTGTGCAGTGATTTGATTTTTTATGTTCAACGTAATGAACTGGTCATGGTATTTCTTTCTTTTTGGAGCTTAACGGATGACATTTAATACTAACCTTCATCAATAATGACATTAAAACTGAGCAAGTTTTATTTTAGACACAATGTTGTCTGTTTTAAAATAATCACTAAAAATAATCGGAACAATTTTGCGTCTCAAAAAAAAAAAACAGATATATTCCTTAACGATTTAGTTTTTATTGAATTATCTGTCAATGATTCATTGATCCATTCATAATGACAGTCACCTTTGTTTCCAAATGAATTCGCATTTTGGATGTATTGCTTGAATAAATGATTCAGTGAATCTCTATTTTATAAAAAAAATTCCAAAATATATTGAGATATAATTTTTTTAAATGTGGCACACAAATGCTGTGTTCATATTGTATCTACCGACAATAACCAAAATTATGGCAAAAATATGGCAGTTTTAGTATTATTATGTATGAATTTAACCTAGTGCACTTATATTATTAAAGTATCTTTTAGCTGTATCTTTATTATATTTACTTATGTATATTTCTGTTATGCAAATTCACTTGTGGTGCATCCAAAGCAACCATACTCTTCTTTAACATCATTAGTAACTACAATAAGTAGCTAATTAGTGTAATATTAATCTAATGCACAACAAAATCTTTTGCTATGTAGAAAGTATTTCCGGGTGGCTGTAAGGCTATAATACTGTTTGCATAATTAAACTATGTATCTGGCTAATACAATGATCACAGTCTTGACCAATCCTGCGTCATTACAGTCCCTTGTGGGTCTCCATGTATAGTTTCTCCTGTTGGTGAGAAATAATAGGCACTTGACAAATCATACAGCTCTGGTTATCCCTGTATATCTACGACCAGCTGTTCCTCCATCTTTGCTGAGACTTCAGTGTTGTTATGGAAAGGCTGATGCTGATTGGTTGGTTCTTGTCAAATGACCTGCAGTGTGCTTGCGGCATTCTGGAAAGTTGAGATGTTTTCATCTTTCTGGTGCACAGACATGGAAAAAATGAGCCTGTCTGAGCGCAGAAGGCAACAGCAGCATCGCCTTTATTGGGAGCATCCTAGACTTATGTTTACATTTATTTGAGTGAACAAGACACACAACATGTACAGTAAATGACCCATAACATGGTCACAATGAACCATCATTAATATATGTATATTAATGATGTTTTTTTTTTTTTTTTGGCTTTGTTTTTTCAGCCTAATGATGGCTTGCTTGTCTAATAGTGACAAATCTTTGGATCTCACTTTAATAGTTGACTTACAGATTTTTAAATGCAAATAGCACACTTGAAATGATCACTGGACCCTTTACCTTGGATAATGAGGAAATAACACACACCTGGACATGAAACAGCTCAGAAGCCAATTGTCCAATTACTTTTGGACCCTTAACAAGTGGGAGGCACATATGCAAATATGCAAACCTTATTTGGATGCCCTCAAATTAAAGCTGACAGTCTGTATATAGTCTTTCAATTTTTTTTTTTTTACTGAACTAGTTGATTTGGAATGAGGCGAGGAGTAGGGGTACTGTAGATAAAGACATTTCTGCAGTGTGCTTGAAATATTCCTTTAACAGGAAGTGTTTCATGTTTAAGAAAGTAGCGGAAGAAGATGAAAATGTGATGAAACAGTAAGGTGTTCTCCATCTCTGCAGGCTTTGGAGATCTTTTTATTTTTTTTAATTTGAGAGCTCCAACCTTTCCTGGCATTGATTCTCCAAAAGCCTCAGGGTAATTAATGGCAGTCTCTAAAGTCTGTTTCAAAGGAGTCTTTGTTTGTTTTTGTGTTTGCTTGTTTTCCGGTACGTATCTCTTTGAGTGATTCATCATAGATTGTTATGTCCCCAAACTGCCATTCCTCATTTGTATTCAAAGAGCCAAGGTAATGATCAACTTCCTCATCATCAAACTAATATGCTTCCAAATTTGGCCTTCAGAACTTTGCGTTCTACTGTTGCGTAGTAACAACTGTGAATTTGTTAATTCACAGTTTCTCGTCCAATCAAACGCATCCAGAGATTTCAAGGATTCAGTGGTCTTACTAAGTGTATTTCTGTCTTAGCAGGCTTTTGCAAGCGTAATATTGTTGTTATTTCGGTGCTACCCTGAGCTCAGTATGTTGGCTAATTTGACAATGACGCAGTCATCTGTGCTAACCTGAATGCCCAAGATAACAAAGCACCTGAGCTTCCTCGTGGGGGCTTTGCCACATCCTTTCGTCTACTCCTGCGTAATGGGAGCACAACACACTCTCAGACACAGTACTCCTGTAAACAGGCCAGTGACAAATTAGGCTGCGTGTTGCAAGACTTTCACCACCTGAGACAAATTTTAGGTTTTGTAAAATATTTCTTTTGTTTTTCTTTTCCTTGTAGGGCAAATTCTGCAGTCTTGAAGCTCTTATAGCTCGTATAAGGATATTAGGCCAGACTGCCCAGTCAATGATGTATGTCATTGTAAAATCTGTCGATGTCACGCAGTCTGTCTTGGCTTTTCTCGCTTGACTCATATCATGCTGTCTGACAATATGCATTTGTTAGCTACAAAGCATTTACATGCACTTTAGAAGATTTGAAGTCTGCAAATTGCAGTTTAAGCAATTTTAAAAGTCATGTGAACATTTTAGTCTGACTGAAAGTTTTCTGGGATTTTTTTGTCAAGTCAGACTAACCCTAATGCAACTATAGATAGGCCTGTCACAATAATTTATCAACTTATCGCACAACACATGGACATGACCTCAATCATTTTTGGTGATGCAATATATATCACCCATACATAAAAACCCATTATAGCAACATTTTAGCCGACAACATCTCTATTACTATTGGAGGTGTCAGTGTCAGTATGGTTAAAAAAACACTATATAAAAATGATTATAGTATATTTTCATGTAGATGCCTGACAACTAAAAATAGATCTGGTAGCAGATATCGCAGCCTCTGTTACTTTTTTCCTTGCACTATTAAAAATATTAAGGTAATAACAATAAGGTAATAATAATATTTATTATTATTATTTCCTGGCCTAGTTATTAAATTGTTAAAATAATTGTAATTAAATTAAACATTCTTAAGAATAAAATATTAGGTGCATCCCAAATTGCTTACTTATGCACTATTATTCGCCATTTTGTTGTATAAATAGTGTAAGTAGTGCATTCACACTGAAAACTCTTACTTTCACACCTTAAATACTCGGATGATGCACTTATTCTACCGTTTAAATGAAGTGTGAAATGTTGGACAGTTCAAGTGTCTTCTAGTGGAAGGGGTGGAGCTTTCGGGCACTGATGTTGGATTACTTTATTTATTTTAGCAGTGGTCTCCTACGAGAGAGAGTGATTACACTTGTAATATTAGGTTTTTACTGTCAATTTTGATCAGTTTAATGTATCCTTGCTGCATAAAAGTATTGATTTTGTTTTAGAAAATGATGCCGACGCAGTATTTTATTCACATTAAACAGTCTGCAGTTGGCCTCAGCATACTTCTCTTGTTCTGAATGACAGAGGTGACTCCCGGTGGGTATTTACTTCTTCAAATATTTGATTACACATTGTGTCATGTATGCATAGACAGATAAAGACTGTAGCTCGGCCATGCAGTAACCTGCTGTAGCTCAATTATAACTCTGAATGTAAATGTACTTATTGCCAGACTGGGGTGAGATTCACAAAGGATGGGTTCTTGAATAAGAACACACTGAGCACAACTGAAATAAAGAGAAAATGTTTCTGTTGGGGCATTAACTACCATTAATGCACCAATGTACAAAC